AAACCCGCCGCCTTGAAGTTCTTTTGTGTCGTCTTAGAATTGGACATTCCTTCCTCACCCATAAACATCTGCTCAGGGGGGAAGCCCCACCCCTGTGTGATGAATGTGGGGAGCGTTTGACAATTTTACACATTTTCTGGCTGTGCCCAGGGCTTGAGCAAGAACGACGTACACATTTCCCCGAGTGTTTTTCCCACCAGATTCCTTTTCACCCAGCGCTGCTAATTGGCGAGACTCCTATAGTACCATTTGATTGTATCATAAATTACTTAAGAAAAACCGGCTTTCTACTAGAGTTGTAATTTTAACTCTATGAATTTTAACCTTGTCATATGAACCTCTTTTCGATAATTCATATAAAAAAGACTTGAGTATGTCCCAACTAAACAAGCTTGGCGCAGTATGGCCATAGTAGCTTTGCGCCATAAAGCCCGTAATCAATCAATCAATCATTGAGTTCTCAAGCAAAAAGAATGTTTTCTTATAAAAAAAATGGTGAAGAGAAGTTGGCAGGAAAAGAGGGAACGAGAGATATAGACATATTTCGGTTGAACTGTTTGTGTGTTGTGTTGCAAAGTTTTTGCTTGAAATGTTATTAGCGAGTTTTAGAATGGTGTCGTCGCCACGCCCAGACCGATTTTTGGATGGATGCAGGACGATGACGCTACTTCTTTGGATACACTATTTTAAAACTTACTATTGGGACAACGAAAAGTTGATAAAAATGTTGAGGCTTTTCTTTTAACCCTTTTAACAGCAATTGTAACTTTTTCAATTAGTCTTCTTTGATTGTGGGAGTATTGTTATTGCATGTAGCATTGAGTATGTCAGTGGTTCTCAGCCATTGATGTTTCGCGGACCCCTTGTGGATCGGCGGAGATGATGGAGGATCCCGTTCATGGTGAGGGGAAGGGAAAGTATAGGTTAACTATGATAGTGATTTAATAAACTGATATAAGTGAGGGCTAGTGTGAAGTAGACTTCTCTTACTGACATATATACGAGAAAACTCGCCCAAAAATTGGAACGTTTATTCACAATCTGAGAAAAAAACAACTTTTATTTTCGGGCTTGACTGATGATGCTGGGCTTCGCGGACCCCTAGAGTACCTTTGCGGACCAAAAAGGGTCCGCGGACCCCCATTTGAGAACCACTGGAGTATGTCATTGTATAGTACTACAGACCAGACCTGTCTGAGGATATTGCGAGAGAGATCCCCTCGAGAACCTCAGGTTGGGAGCCACTGTATTCCTTGTGAAGCACAGATCCCCCATTGGCAGCATTAGGATTCTCCGGCTGCAAGAGCTTGCAGCATCACAATGGTGCTGACAAACTTTTCACTCGTGACTGTATATTATTGTGCTCGCATCATTGCAGCAGCTAGCTGCTGCGTTGATGGAGATTGAACCAGTATATTTAATTGAGCTTAGAAGCATGCATGTCTGCCATGCCTCAAAGCTAGCCTGACTCAAATGCTGTAGGCACAGCCAGCTTAGACATTGTTTAAATATTTCTGTCTCATCATAAAACCAAATTTATTACATTTAGGTTAATGCTACCGTAAGGTGCTTCAGGTACATAGTACAGTAGAATCTTTAGGATACGAATCTTGAGGGATCGCGGAAAATATTCGCATAATCCGAAATTCGTATGAACGAAAAACAAGTCACGTAAGTATATGAAAGCAAAGCAGGGGCTACTTGCCATTCATTGGGCACACTCCCGGCCAAAGAAGTCAGTAATGTTCTTCTGAGTCTTCTTTTTTTCAACATGAACCAGGAGACAGTTTTGGAACGTGTAAAAATATGCGCCTGTGTCGTTACTATGCGCCGTAGCATGTCGAGGGCATGCAATGTTTTAGCAGTCTTCGGCGGTTGCTCGTTGTTAGTTACGTCATCATCATCTCTGCGACTAGCCTCCCCTTGGGGTGCTGTCACTTCGTCAATGATTTCCTCAACAGTTCTTAATCTGCAAGTCGCAAGGTTGTCATCCGCGGTAATGAAATCGACGGAAGATTCCTCGGCACGAAGTAGGTCCCAGTCCTGAATTGTCAAGTTTTCTTTTGGCTTCGGAGGAGCAGCTTCTGCAGTAACAGTCCCAGGACACGAAGAGGAAGTGCAAAGCGTCCAGCAGGCTTATTTGAAGCTCCTCGTCTTGCCGTTCTATCTTGGCGAGCAGACACCGCACCACAGAAGCCCCTTGAAATGGCACTTTACGTTCCGAATTATGCCGGCGTCTAGTGGCTGGAGGTAGCTTGTTGTGTTAGCTGGTAGAAACACCACACTAACATTTTTAGGCTAACTTGTTTCGGGTGGGCGGCGCACTGGTCGAGGAACAGTAGGATCTTCCTTCCCTGGCACAACATTTTGTTGTCAAGGTACGTGAGAAATTCTTGAAAAAAGGCTCCCGTCATCCAAGACTTCTTGTTTGCCTTAAAAACACAGGGCAAACGGCCTGTCCCTTTAAAACACCTCGGCTTCTCGAATCTGTTGATGATGGTAACCCTTATCTTTTCCGAGCCGTCGGCATTACAACAAAAAAGAACGGTCACTCTCTGCTTGCTCTTCTGTCCGCCCTTGAAAGTCTTCCCTTGACGCAAAAGCTCTTCTCTGGTTGTACATTGATGAAGACGCCCGCCTCATCAGCGTTGAATATATTGCGGGCTTCGTAACCTGCAATAAGCGACGGGAGAGTGTTGGTCATCCAGAAAGTGACAACAGATTCATCCACTTCCTTGCCTTCGCCGCAGACTCGTCTATACGCCAAGCCATGTCTAGCTTTAAAACGATGCATCCAACCGCCCGATGCATGGAAGTTCTCAATGCTGAGCGAGAGCCTGATGTCGTCGGCTTTTTCTCTCAGCACCTTTTCATCAATGTTAACGCTCGCCGTGTTCACTTCCTACCACGTTAACAGTACCTTTTCAAGCTTCTTGTGTTGTGCAGTCTTCGCTTGTTTCACATAACGTCAAAATGCTGGGCGTTTTTCATTATCTGCTCTCGTTGACCCACGATGGTGCAAAGGGTCGATGGTGCCAGACCTAGCTCCTTCGCCAAATCCTTGCATTTTCTTTTAGGGTCCTCGTCTACTTTCCTCAGAATTTCGAGCTTCTCTTTGAAGGACAGCGATTTTCTTTTGCAAGACATGTTCAGGTCGCAACTCACACTGGACAGACGAGGCAGGATGAGGGATATCCTCCTGAAAGTTCATTGATGGAAATCGCATGAAGCTGGACAGACATGCACGTGCGTGCGAAAACAAAGGCTGCTTGCTCGTTGACGTTCACGTCATCAACGCCGATTCCGAATGTCGTTTGTCGTGTTCACTCGAGTGACTGGGAGCAACTGGGATTTGCTAAAACTCGTTTATCACGTGATGATAAAAATAAAGCGGCAACCCTGGAGTAGGTAAATGCGAGTTATTCCAGCAATCTAAATTCGAATCACGTGACAACACAGATAGTGCAGCAACGGTGCGATATGGGTATGTTCTGAGTTTTGGAATGCAGCCACGGGCCGCGGTTATTGTGATTGCAACGCATATGTAAAAAAAACGGCAAAAAATAAACAAAAAAAAAACACACAGCGGCTACGGTTGACGGGGTGGAGTGATGCCTCCCTAAAGGATCTGTAAATGTTGTCGATCATTGTTCGTATGATCCGCCGTTGCCTGATGAAGCATTCGGACTATCCCGAAACATAACACATTGGTCTTGAGGGACTTTGGCCGAGGATTTCGAAAAATTCGTGTCACACCGAAATTTGGATGAACCGTGATCGTATCATCGAGATTCTACTGTATGAGTTTTCACTGTGTCTACTTTTCTGCAAGGCACACCAAGGCCTATGGTCGTCATTTACAAAAGTATTGCAGCGAATGATTGCACACTGATAGCATTCTGCACGGAAATGCAATCTGCACTGGGCTTTCATTGTTATCAGTGCTTTACCATGTTGGTCTTTTTCCGTAAACAGCAATCACTGGCGGTTTCCTTGCTCTGTAGATGTGTGGACTTTGTTCATAAAAGGCTCATACTATCTGCAGGACTTCGTGGCATTTGGTTGGTGAAATAGTACTTCTTCTAGCTTGCGGGGTCTTTAACACGTTTATTCAATGGTGGTTATATTAATGCCTTCCAGTGTAGTGGTTTCTAAAGAACCCAACTTTTTGATCACCTAGCTTTTTACACATTCCAAGAAGTATTGTAAGTAAAAAGTAGGTTTTGCAAACTACAATTCGCTAGTGCTTGGGTTCTTTACAGAGCTTCTAAGAATCCAGGTGTTACCCAGAGTGCCTTCAGGGACTTTTCAAGCACACAAATTCTTTTTGTTGGCCCTACTTCCCAGTGAATTGTTCTCTCAGTTTTGATAAGCCTCTCTTACGATACCTGATTGATGTATTATGCAACCCTCTAGTGTAAGCAAAACACTCCTGAGGCCCAAGGAATGCATTGTTGTTAACAAAGTCTGTATGCCCTTGAACTTCTTTCTTGCAATAATGCCAGGAGGATTAGAGAGTATTTTGGTTTATTTAAGGCAGATAGTGGGTGTTCCTCGAGACCAAAGAGTTTGAGAACCCCTGTGCTAGTGGCCACGGCATTTCTGCACCCTTCAGTCTCACCAAGCTTAGGAGACGTTGCAAGCACAGCAGCCAGGGTTATGTGTGCCAAGTGGTGAGTCTGCAGAAACATCAAACCTTCGGGTTGAACTTCTTGGTTCATTGGGTTGAGACTAGAGATAAACATTGCAAACAAAACAAGGATGAACGAGGGCACACGTAAAAGGACCAGTGCTTAGTCCTTGTGTTTGTCCCTTCATCCATTGTTGCCTTACCCGCACTGTTTACCTTTACTGTCAAAGCATACAGAAATCATTTACAGTGTGCAGCTTTGCTTTCCCTCATCGTAAGAGTGTCCAACCCTCAAGGCTTCACTAGACTGGAGAGGGTAAGTGTCTCATACTAATTTTGTGTTTTTGCTCGCCCTCCCTATCCTTTTCAGACGGAAGGACGTGCTATTGACTTTGACGTGGAGACGGCCATCCGGGTGTGCCGGCAGGCGGGCTACTTTAGCCAGGCCCTGTACCTGGCGGAGAAGCACGGTTGCGACGACCTCTACCTCCACATCCAGCTGGAGAACTGCAGGGACTACCTCAAGGCCCTGCACTACATCTCCAGGCTGCCCTTCAGGGAGGTACGATATGGGGGGGCACGGCATTTCTTGGCAGAAAAGTAATAAGGAATACACCATAGGTATACTGATTTTTTACTTTTTGCAGCAACAGCTGTTATAGGGACTTCCCAATTGCATGCGCACGTTGGCATTGTACCAAGAAGAAAACTTTGTTCCACGTGAGCTTGTGCGTACAGTGCCCCTTGACGCCGGGCAAAGGCTCTTGCGCTTGGCTTTTGGCAGCCGGCAGTATCTTCTATACTGCTACAATTGGAAGAAAAAAATCACTAAATATTTCTCAGTGTAGAGCTTAATTTGCGTGTACTATCAGATGTAAAGCAACCCACCACTTAGGCAGGGACTCATACTTCAGTGACCACAAGGCTGTGTTGTGTGCGACTGAGTAAATAGAGAGTGGATACTTGATAAAAGAGGCTGTTACTTTGCACAGTAACAGCTATCGCTCTCACTTCTTTGCATACCGTGGCAAGAGGCTATGAATATTTGGTACACTAAAGTGAATTTAAATGGGAGCTCCGGCGATTTTTTGAGCAACCCCAACTAACTATATATTTTCGAAATCGCCGTCCTTTACTCTTTCCGGTATGCTATTTAGTATTGCGAAATTCAGAATAGTTATTGTGAAATCAGTCAATGAAAATGACGCCAAAACCAAGATTCGAATATACCCCGCGCTTTTCATTGCCGCGACGTCACAGGTGGGCCGGGCCGGCTTGCGGTTCGGGCGGGTAGTCTAAAAACAAACTATGCCGAGCATTTGTTTCGTGACCTTCACAACATTCATTTGACACCATAAAACTGTTTGTAATCAATTGGGAACAAAGCCTACAGCCCAAAGAGTGAACCCCTGCCTACCCATGACGTCACTTTTTCAATGTTGCCGTTAGAGCTTTTCACTTTGAATAACACCATGGGGACCAAAATTGTAAATTTTGTAACTTAGAGACAAAAAGTTATTTTGTCCAAATATTTGGGTTACTATTTCAGCGATGTTTGTTGGTGTGTTTAGCAAGTTTTTAGGCAAATTGGGGACTATGAAGAAAACGGTGGAGTATCCTTTTAAAAGCACCCTTCCATAGGGGCTTTTAGCTGTCCTTCAATGCAACAGGCTTTATAAGGCCAGCCAACCTCAAGAACCGCACAAGCACGAAATGTGTAGATTGGTCAGTCCATAACCGCGAAACAATGTTGAAAAAAAACAACCGCATCTCCCCGTGGTGAATGATGTTGATTGGGGCGAAGCTCTGGTGGTGCTTGTCTGCGTAGACGCTGAGCCACAGCATGCCGAGCCTTTCGTTCGTTTTCATCCATGTCACGCTGCGGCCAAATGCTCAAATGCATATATACCCACGTTCCATACCACACATTCTCTTTTTGACATGGATGAAAACTAACGAAAGGCTCTGCATGCTGCGGCTCACCGTCTACGCAGACGAGCACCACCAGAGCTTCGCCCCAATCAACATCATTCACCACGTGGAGATGCGGTTGTTTTTTTTTCCCTACACGAGCACGGGAGCGCGTGCTTGTGACCCGACGGCGGACGGACATACGGGCATGGCTAGCCCCTAAGGAGTTTCACCCCTAAAAAATGGCAACCGGTGCCAGGGATCGAACCCCTGTCACCAGTCTGGAAGTCGAGTCCGCTGCTGACTGAGCTACAAACCCAGCATGTAGGAATGGGAGGAGTAGAAGCAGGTGGTATGAGAAGGTGCATGGAGTGGAGAGGAGCGAAAAGGGCAAGGAAAAGAGGAGCAGAAGCAGGTGGTTCAGAAAGAGCACATAGAACGAGGAGTAGTGGAAAGAGCAGCAATGTTCGCTTCCCCTTTCTTGGTGACCCAGAAAATTCAGCGCAAAAGCTTTGCATATGGGTGGTGATGAAGGGTGTGTGCGCAGCGTCACAAAGAGGCAGTGGCATAACATAATCCATTTTTATACAAAACCCTGCCCTAGGCACTGTTCAAACTACGAGCCCCACGGTCCCTATAAAGCTACCACATTTAAATGCGTTTGGCAGAATGACCAAACGAACAGCCAATTTTCTCAAGCTGGTTGATTTTGCAACGAGTTCAGATTTATGACTATCAGCCAATTTGTGGCAAACTTCTGATGCAACAAATACACTAAAAAAACTGGGATGTACCTGTGGACACCTGCATTTCATGTAGTTTACTTATTCCAGTTTTTTTTCTCTTTGTGTCAAAAGGCTGAAGACTACATGAAGAAATATGGCAAAGTGCTGCTCAATGAAATTCCTGAAGAGACTACACATCTATTGAAGCGACTGTGCACAGACTACAGGCCAAGCAATGGTGAGGGATGCCCCATTCAAGGTTATGGTAGGGCGTGTAATGTTAAATCTGCCGGTGGTTGCACATCAAAATCCGCATAGGATGAGCTGCATTCCCAGGCAAAGTGCTGTGCATGTGTGAACTGGGATTTTAGGGTTTGAGCTAGATATTGATTAGATAGAAATTCTGTCATCATATTCTTAAGTTCATTGAAGGAATTTAAAACATGGTGTTAAATATTTGTCACAATTTTTGGAAGTTGCTTTATCAGATATTAGGAGAAGCCACTTTTTTTCAGGGCAAATGCACTCAAAGGTAGAACCAAAACAAGTGATAGATATGAACAAATGTCTAAAAGGTTTATTCTCAGCCTGGTTTGTTCGTGCAACTAAAGAAATGCAACTTCCGTCAAATTTGTAAAAATTAAGCCGGTTACTGTATTTTTGTTTTCGTGCAGTTTCTCTTTTTTAAGACAACAGTAGGATACACTGTTTTTTGTGGTGGCCTTATATTGCAGCTTGTCAGTGACCAAACGCTTAACGTTGACGTCCTTTCCCCGTAATCATGGCGTCCTTTTGGCTAATGTTTCTCGTTCTATTCCAGCCCCCTTGGTGAACCAGAGTATGTTGGATGGTAAGCGAGTATAGTTTCTGGAATTCCTAGCTTTGTACCACGAGTACTAGGTTTTGTTTGAGCCGTCTGTGGTCTTGCGAAGGTGCTCCACCCCCCCAAGAGCAGAAGTCGCATCCCGAAGACTTCATTCACATCTTCGTCAACAAGTCGGACAAGCTTCTAGAATTCCTCGAACACATGGTCAAGGTGATGACCGCTCTTGATTCCCCATTTATATTCACCTCTCGCTCTCGGCGGGAAAAATGGCAGCTCTAGTCACTGGCAGGATGAGCACAGTAGGGAGGAGCTTTAGTCATCCCGCCTCCGGCATGAGCGTCGAGCGTACATGCACAGCCAAGGCACGGCGAAAGGCAACAAGCACGTGCTGAAGGCTGGGCACTCGAAAGAGAAGCCCTTCCGTTCTAACTTTGTCAGTAACTATGGTAACTAATTTTCATGACAAATAGAATACCTGTTTTACTTCTGATAGATGTGGACAGGCATTCAAATAGAGAAATGAAAAGTTGAAGTTGTGCTGTAGTTGGTCTCTTTTCATTGCTCTCTGCCCCGGATAATTCCACGTACAATTTTTTGATCCTTGAACGAGAAGCTCACTCGACTATTCGTCGCTAATTTTTCCTTATGCCGACCCAGGTTCAGCCCAACTCCTCGAGCCTAGTTTACAACACGCTACTAGAACTGCACCTGCAGGCTCATAACCACGAACCGGACAGTGCGGTAAGAAACTTTGTGTGATGCCGGCTTTCTTTTCATTTTTTGAAGTGCCGCTTGCAACGCTAGTGATACGTCTAAAAAAAATTGGTGTTCGTTTTGTTTCTGAGAGTTGTAACGGTGGAATTTGTTACAGGAGAAGAAGCTTCGGGAACAAAAGATCATGGACATGTTACGGAGCTGGGAGGTGAGCCACCTTAGATTCTAATGACGATCATTATTCCCATAATGATTCTTGCCTTATGTGTTCACTCAATAACCTTAACTTTATACCTACTGTGTTAAGGGCACAAAATATGGAGGCTGACTTTATATTGACCAATCAGTGTAAGTTTGGTTATATCAGCATGCACTCCTGCAATGCAGAATGGCTACCAGGATAGAATAAGGAGTTGTCATGTGCAGATTTGCTTGGTTACATCCGTTCCCAAAAAAAGGAGGGACTCCGTAACAGCCATTACAGAAGTTGTATCTTTCTGAAAATTTTATTATCAAATGAGAAATGGGGTTAGTATTATGCGAGCATATGGGTATGGGGCATTGGGCATGCAAGCTTTTCATTTCTTTGTTGTAGTTACGAGCCTTCTGTACCCCTGCATTTCGATTGCTTACTTTTGGCGCTTGCTTACAAGCTGTCTTGTTTTCTTTCTCTTGTACACAGTCTATGTATGACCTTGACCAAGCGATGGTGCTGTGCCAGATGAACAACTTCAGGAGGGGCATTCTACACCTGTACGAAAAAGCAAAGCTGTAAGTTGTTTCATTCATAGAGCCCTCTCAGTGAAATGGCAACTGTACCGTATTGGGCAAGTTCAAAAGCACAGGAGAGGGCATACTGTAAATATATATTAGGGTTGTAAAAATACAAAAAAAAATTGACTGCAGATCGACTTTTAATATGAGAGCTCGATACGAATTGAATATAAACAGTTTTGAGACTTCATTGGAATAAAATTAAATATTCTTATTTTGGAAAAATGTAAGTAAAAAACTGATATTAAAGTAAATAGAATTTCGTTGCTCCTTTTTGTTTTTTCGTTAAACATATTTGTTGTGTATAATATTGCACTTCATATATAATATTAAGTGCACCGCCCTGCACTTTTCTGCACCGGTGCAAGACATGCAAGTAAATCGAACAAGGCTATTCTTGGCAATAATGCACACACCTAGGAATGTTGGCTCATATAGTTTTGCACTGGCACAGCTGAGGGAGGGGGGTAATTTCTTGTGAGGCAGCTCCAGCCCCAATGTAAATTGGATGTTGTGGTCACAAGACAACTTTCCATTAACTTTTGATGCTCTGCATATATTTATTCGAATTTTAATGTAGCTTGTTAGCTGAACCACACATTTTATGGTAAAGATTAATCATGTGCAAATTGTGGATTTTGAGTTTAAAGTGAATTCGAAGCGAATAGTGATTTTGGACAAATATTTTCTAATCAAATCAAATAGTTTCTCCAAGCCTTTCAGTGCACCATGCTTAAATAAAAATCAAGCTAAACTCGTAAAGGTTGTTCCCAAGCTTCCACTTGTCGATTTATAACTTAATTTTAATCTTACTATATTTATGGGCTGTAACCTTAAAAAGTCCTACCCGTAAAGTTCCGAAAGAATGCCCGCCCGAAATTAAGAATTAAATGGTGAAAAGCATGGGATGGGCTATCTTTGAGGTGCCACAGCGAAACTTTATCAAAAATTAATGATAAACACCCTGGCACTTGCTACAAACCACATGACGCAGGAACTCGTACCACAGATTGTAGGCACTGCAAATTTGCGTTTCGCGATGCGATAAACACGCGGGAAATCGCTATGAAGTCCTGTGTCACGGGAAAGGGTACTGCAGGTTGTGCGGACACAGCAGATTCGCGTTTCACGATGCGAAGGACCCGCGGAACCCCGCCAAGAACTGCATCTCACGGGAACGAATACCGCAAATCGCGGACGCTGCAGATTCAAGTTTTATGGTGCAATAAATCCTCGGATTCGCTACAAACTTTATGTGACACGAACGGATACCGCAGATTGCGGATGCAGCAGATTCGCATTTCATGGTGTAACAGAGAGTCAAACCCGACTATATCGAACCCGTTTACATTGAATTATCCCTCATATCGAACAATTTTTATGCACAGTTATGTTACGGTGATAATATATATAAAAAAACTACGGTCCAAAAATAGCAGCCGCTACCGATATATCGAACTGCCAAGACCGCCGTTTTGCTCTTGCAAGCTGGCTTTCCCCCAACGCGAGCGGCCGCGTTGGGGGAAAGCCAGCTTGCAAAACACGCTGGCTTTCTTTTTTTTTTTTTTTTTTCCGGTTGGCCGGGTTGATTGCTTGGAAGGAAAAAAAAAAAAAAAAACTGTTTTGCGGAGGGAGCGCGGAGAGTGTGCTCCGTGCTCCCTCTCGCCGCTCCGTCCGCAAAAGAGAATAGAGAGTTTTCGTAGACCGCGCTGCCCCCTCCGCTAAGCGTTCCGCAACGAAGAAGTTGCTACTGCGCCTGCGCGCCGATAGCCTTGACTGTGGAGTTCCCGCTATCGTAGCGGGTTGCGGAGGGCCTTGCGGGACGGCGAAAACGATCTACGAAAACTCCCTAATATTATTTTTTCTTCCGGGCGGTTGACGCAGCCGCCCGAAAGAAAACCAAGCCAGCTTGCTCTGCTAGCTGGCTTTCCCCCACTGCAGCCGCCGCCGATTGTCTTAGGGGAAAGCCAACTTGCAGAGCAACACGGCGCTCTGCGGGAGAAGGTGCTCCTGCTCGGACGTGCTCCGTGCTCTGGGCATAGTTGGGCGCTAATGCGCGAATATAGAAGGCAGCGGCCTCAGCATTTCGGAGTCCGTCGATAGCGTAGAAAAAGATCGTTATCGCGGATGCAATGAAGAAAAATCAGCAGAAGATGCAGGACTATTTCATTGTGTAATATGTCAGCAGAAAGTGGATTTTTGAGTCAAATTTATTAAAACTGTTAAATCGAATTACGCGATATATCAAGCTAATTCTCGTTTTTTTTGCGAGTTTGATATATGCGGGTAACAAGTGAGAACAACTCGCTTGTTACAGGAGCCGATGTTGTACGCACAGATCGTGTACAAAAACGTGGGAGCTCATGTGCCGGTACAGCAAATTGCGCAGTTGATGCGATTCCTGTCCGACATTACGTGATGTTCAACGGTAATCGGAGGGGGGGGGGGGGGGGGGGGGAAGGGGAAGGGGAAGGGGAAGGGGAAGGGGAAGGGGGGGGGGGGGGCGACGTTTTGGAATTTTTATGTTAGATATTTAGCCGGAAAAACGGGATGAGCAATCTCTCGGGGGTGGGCGCCCCCTTCGAATTTTACAGTATGCCTTAGAATATGATATACTGTAAACCAATTTATATTTGCAGGCTCAATATTTTGCGAATTCGGAGAAATGGGGATTTCGGAAATGATTTGCAGGTGCAATGAGGGTGGTATTTCATGTATTTGTTACCATAAGGACACATATTTGTCGGTTCTATTTTTCTCGAAAATATTCAAGTCATGAAATTTGCAAAGATTAAGTCTTTTACAGTATATAGAGAGATGCCCAGCTATACTTAATGGATTTACAAATATGCAAACAATCCTTCTTCAATCTCGTATTTGAGAAGAAAAAAAAAAGTATCACGAATGACAAACGCAGGTTGTGGGGGCATCTCTGCCTAACATATACTCTTGCAAAACGGCCAGTTTAATTTTGAAAATTTTACTGCCGTGCAGATATCAGCATTCACAAAGTTTCTGTTTCTTTTTAAGTACACCTGGTGCATGTGTGCAGCATCTTGCTTCGAGAGTGTGCTTTTCTCCCAAGCACGCAATTGCGATATTCATACTTTTCCAAGTGTTGATCACGGCGGGTTGAGTGCGCTTCTTACCGAGCATTGGCGCACTGCAGAGAACAGTGATGGAAGTGCTGCGCCCATTGCGCCAAATTGCGCCAAGGACGCAATCGTGCTACATGTAGCGCCAAATTGTCATTTTACCGAGGAATTGCTTCATGCCTGCGCCGAGATGAGATGTAGCAATAAAAGATAAAAATTGAAGTCTTATCAGAGCGCATGCTCTGATAAGACTTCGATTCCACGCCGCAACTGTTACGCAAACCGAAACTGCAAGGGCGCATTATCATCATCATCACTGAAAGGAACAACATTAGCAACATCTGAGACCAAAGCCGCAGAGGCTAAGCATAAACATCCCACTAAGCAACCTATTTAAAAAAAAAAAAAAAAAAATCCGAGCTTGTGGATGTTTTCAATGTTGGCCCGCCCTCTTCCGGTGCGCTAGCTACCAGCGAAGTCAAAGCTAGCGCGAGCCCAATGCTCTGTGCATTCCTGACTCGCGCGTGGGCTCGTGCAGTATGGGCACCGTTACGGGCTCCATGCGCGTGCTTGTAGCTTCGGCTGCGCTCGCACCGAAGCTGAAACGAAGTATAGTTGAGTTGCACCAAAATCTGGATGGATGTAGTGCTGGTAAAGCCTCACCGTCCTTTTCGGACTACAAAGCACTGCGCGACTCGCGCAACTGCGGTGTCTGTTCTGCGGGTGTCGCTTCTCTGCAGCGCGCCGGTGCATGCCAAGGAGGGCACTCAACGGGTTAACGCGCCATGATCCGATCGTGACTTCGCCAGCACATCAAAAATGAATCGGAAATTCTGAAGCGAATATCAGATAGCGCAATATTTGAAGCTTCTGCCCGAAAGACAACTCTAATCTGAACTAAAACATTCCAGAATAGTGAGGGTCGTTAGATGCTGCTGCAGATACCTTAAACGAAGTGCAGGCTGATAGAACTAAATATCCTGTACCATCAGAATTCAGTGTGACATATTTAATTGTATTTTTTTATCTGACGAGCAGATAATCTTTATTTAAAAAAATGTTTTTTTTGTGTGTTAACTTTGTTGAATTTTACATATCCTGTCTTAAAAAGGCGACAGGCGCTGTGTTCCAATAATAGAGATGGGCTTTATATAGCAATGCAGCATTACTTCATTTTCAAATAATATGCCAACATATGCCGGACCCTGCTCCAAAAGGACCACTAAATGCTCCAAAACAACATTTTGCCTGCTACAAGGCCTGCTCCAAAAGGTCAAATGGTACTTTCATCACTGAGAGAAGCAACACCTGTGGAGCTCGCATCCGCGAGTGTTGCTTCTCCACAGTGCAGCCGGGCTTGGTGAGAAGTGCATTCAACTGGGCTAACCCGCCGCGATCAACACTTCGCAAAATATATGGCAGTTGATCTCGAAACGAATATTGAATGATTTATTATTCAAAACTACGATTTGAAATTTTGATTATTTACACAACACTAGCTAAGGTGTTTAACATGGAAGGAAAGAACAAACTAAAGATGTGCTTGTGTAGTTTAATTGTTTGATCCATTGTACATTAAAGTACATAGAAACCTGCTCATGCTGTTTTGGAATCTCTAGAAATTTAACAACACAGTTCTCAATTTTTTATGAGCTCCAATCTTAGTTCTCAACTGCCAGCATCTTTACAGGACCAAGAAATACATGTCTTAAATAGCAGCCAGCTTCCTTGGTTGAGCAGTTTCTAGAATCATTAGAATTCTGCAGTACTTCAGTCCTACCACTGTAGGCAAGAGGCGCTTTGTGAGAAGTTTGTTTGAAATTTTTTCAAAACAGGTATCAGCAAATCCTGTCGTACCACATAGAAAATTCGGAATATGACAGCGTCATCAAGATATGCGAGCGATTCGGGTAAGATCATTTTTTGTTAATTGACTTTTTCGAATTTGATCCTGCTGTTACTAATGCACTAACTCAATTCAGTTCATCTTTATTGACTCCAGTTTAGAGAAGGGGCAGATTAGTCGGCAGTTTAGACTGGGGCAGATTAGTCGGCACTTGCAAAAACAAAGCATAATACACCTTTTGATATCATGAACAGAACAGAACTTCTAAAATATTATTTGTTGTTAAAATGCAATTGTCTAATTTGGTTATTTGACACATTTTCTCTGTGAATATTTTTTTAATGAGTTCAATTATGGTATGCTGGAGTATTTGAAATCCGTAACTGGTCCTGGGATGCAGCACTCTTCAGTGTTCTGGACTACGCATATGATAAAACAAAGAGTTTTGAACCAGCGAAGCTAAGTGAAGGAATGATTTGTTATAATAAATATTATCTTTATATTTCTGGATTAATGTCTGTGTATATAAGTCGAAAACACGCGTTATCTTAAATTTTGAGAATAAAATATCGGCATGACTATTATAGGGTACATTAGCTACTAAACGTAAGATCCACGAATGCTATAATTGTAAAGTTTACTGATTAGTGTGTCATGATATAACCAATCAAAGGCTTTCGAAAAGTCTATAAAAATTTTATTTTCAAAATGTTTCAGAATTATTTTTTCATGTTCAACAGCGCAAGTTCAGTCGGTCGCCCTGTTCTGAATGCAAATTGAGAATCTGTAACAACTGAAAATTTTTCACGAAACTAGTTTAATCGAAAATGTATCAGTTTTCTAAACCGTTCGAAAATATCGGAAGTGTAGAAACCGGTCTATAATTTGTTAAATAATTTTTTTCTCCAGTTTTATAAAGTAGTGACACTTCTGCTATTTGCATTTTTTTAGGAAAAATACCCTGTGATAACGATAGATTAAACAAATGAGGTAAAATAGGTGCAATTTGCGCAATCGCATATTTAACGGATTTTCTTTGGATGCCTCGACCAATATGGCGCTGTTTCTTTTTCTATCCAACAGAACTAATGACCCAAATTTGTGGATTCAAGCCCTCTGGTTCTTTGCACAGGCTGGTGAAAGTCAGAAGACTTACTTCAAGACTGTTCTGGAACATATCCTTTGAAGTAGATGGCAAACTGCCAAGTTCTTGTCATTATTTCTGAATGCAACATTAATCTTGTTACAACTACTAGTAGGTATACTATCCCTTGACGATAAAAAAAGCACAGATCGAAAAAGGAAAGCTGCTTCCCCCGATCATGGTGGTGGAAATTGCGTCCCGCAGCCAGACAGCAACACTGTCACTCATCAAGGTTGGCCAGAACATTTGCTACAATGCTGATTTTAGAGAGTTGCTGACACCCTCCAAAAGCTTGCATATACAATGCTTTTATGCAGCTGCGCATGAACCCAGCCATAACTGACCTTCACTTTTTTTTCCTTTTATACTGCCCCCTCTACTTCTCCACTATGGTTGCACAACGAGTGATTGCTTTTCAAGACATTGCGGTGCACATGTCACGAGTTCACGCTTCGTGAGGGCTCATCTTCTTCTGTTTCAGTGATTCGGTATCTTCATGTGAAAGGTGAAGGTCATTTATGGCGGCCCTAATCTGACTCGTGCTGAAAGTATGTAGAGTATTAGATCCTTCTTTTCGTAGTGCTTTGGACTGTATTGCATGCATCTTGGCTAATACTTTGTTCACCGACATTGAGTAACATACCTTGTGCATGAAGCATGATACGCTCATAACGTCGGGGGTATAATTTACTGCATGGTATCGTCAGGGAGAAAACAATATTCTGACCATTCTCCATCAGTTTAGCACACAAGTCAGGATGACGTTAAATATGTTGTAGGGGAGGTTGGGGAGAACACTGAAAACACGAGCAAGTGGAAGAAGTTTCAACGCCGCAGGAAAGGGACAAAACACGCAATCCTTCGCAGGTTTTATTTCCTGCTTTTTTGGGTCTCAGGTTTTCACAATCTTAGAAATTCAAACACAAAATAACCCCAGGGTGGCTGTGGCAGAGGTGACGGCACATAATGAGACCCAAGGGCCAACAAGGAGCTTTTCCCGATCCCCAGGACTACCTGATCCGGCACCTGCAGAGCGAGAACAGGCAGACGGAGGAGAATGAGCGCCTCATGAACCAGTACAAGGAGGACACGGCAAAGGCTCGCAGCGAAATCGAAGACCTGAGGCACAAGTGAGGCCCCAAACGTCTGCCCACACTTTCCGCCAAACAGTCTTTGTTTTAGCCCTTTCGGCGCTATAAAGAGTCCATCTGATTCGGAAGCTGACAGGTTTGGAAGCGGCTCCGTTGCGCAGGGGATCGTGCAATGGGGGCTTCTAGAAATGTGTGAGCGTGCACTCGCAGTGTTCAAGAAACGACATTCTGTCATGTGCGCAAGCTGAAAAGAATGTTCCAGGCACAAACACAGTGGTTTGCCTTGCAGAGGGGCTGTTGCAAAAAAAAATCCCTTAGCGTTATTATTTTTTTTATCGACAATGTCATGCCTTTTTGTCTCCAGATTTTGTTTGCATACCTTAGTTTGTTGAAAATACTTCACGAACTTAGGAACAAGATGCTACGCAGGCCCATAAAGACAGGGAAGCTGGGCCGCTGCATTACGCATTGAAATTTGTGTCAAATGCCCGCTTTATCGAGCGTTCAAAATTGCATTCTGCATAGCTCAAGTTGTCTCATGGCAAGCAATTCACGTGTGCCACACAATTTCTTTTTTCTTTTTCAAACTCGCACGTATCTGGTGGTCCCGCTGCGAAGCCCAAAAATTTTCCAAGTGTCCAAATGCTGCGGCTGCAACCACCAGCTGGAACTGCCTTCTGTCCATTTCCTCTGCGGGCACTCGTACCACCAACAGTGAGTCGCGCTCGATGCCCGATCATTAAGGTGCCGGGAGTGCTTCTCGGACCGGCGCGTGTACCGCATTCCAAAAAGTGGTCCCTCAAGTTCCGCCCGACGTCACGGAGGTGTCCAACCGACGCCTGCCACGATTTTGGTGGTGGCACACCGGCAGGGGTGTGGCAGACACCCCTTCTGCCGCGAGTTGCTCCGCACCCAGATGGTCGACGGAAACCAAAGCAGACGTGACGACCACCTCGCGTCTGCTCGCCTTTTTCACCGGCATTTCTACGACCAACAACTGCCAGGATCGCAACATCCGGCGGCGTCACATGGTAGCTCCCGCAACACAATTCATTGCTACTTCAGGACCACTTTTTGGCGCATGGGCAGACGCACCGGTCCAGGGATCGTCCCGGGCACCGTGACACTGCTGAGGCTGACGACGCGTTAACTTCACCGTCTTTTCTTTCGATGCCAGTTGCTTTGAAAACTACGCCGAGAGCGACACTGAGTGCCCAGAGTGCCTGGCCAAAAACAGGTAAGCACTTTTCGAGAACCTTACGGCGACATGTCGACCCTTTGTGCTAGCACCGATGCAGTTAGTGCTACTGCTTGCTACAAAACGAGAGAATAAAGTCAAGCTTTTACTCATCCATTGGAAGTACCCTTTTGTGACAAGGGTCTTACTTGTTGCCTTGTCATCTTGTATCTAGATTTAACATATTTTTAGTATGACAAAAAGTTTAAAGATTGTGATTTTATCAATTTTCTCAGTAATTGCATTGATTCTAATGATCCACCTAAATCTTTTTATCTGCAAGTGGCATTGTGGAGAGAATGGCATATCCATATAATCGTGCAGGAGGCTAGAAGGCTTAGAGACAGTGGAGTACTGGTATATACTCTGCACCAACTTTTTTGCAATGTTATCAATGCCAGTGTAGCTTTCACCGTTGTAAGGAAAGGAGGAATATGTGTAAATGGGCTTCACATTTCTCGCTTACCACTTTGACATTGGTACCGCCAGACAGATAAGACAAAGGAGAAATGCATTTTTGCCTTCCCCTTTCTTGTATTCTTTCTTAGAAGCACCCTGAGAGCTCCACCCATCTTGCCATACATTTTGCAAAACAGTTGCCACTAAGCATAGTTCCAACAAAGGGAGCAAATGACTTCATTCTGTTCTTCCACAGCAAAACACTGGACATCCTCAGGTCCCAAGAGCAGACAAAAGACCTTCACGAACAGTTTCACCACCTGGTACGTTTTTGACATAAAATATATGTTTTTGGCAAGTGTAACTAAGTGGAAACATAAGATGGAAAAGCGAGATGTGAAAGTGTGACACAAAAGCATTGCAACCAAGAGTATAATCTGTGGTGCCATCACCACAGCAGGGCTCCTTTGCTGGTTGTTCCTCGCCACCAGCACAACCGGTGGCATTCTAGTCAGAAGTCGCGGCACAAGGCATGTTACATAAACTAAGGCCCCTCTATACTGAAGGCAGCGCAATTTCCCCTCTTCACGCAGTTTCCTTCTCTCCCTCTGGGCACGTCCTTCCCTACCCGCAGCTCCGTGCCGCCATTATCGAGCAGACTAGAGCAGACGCCCCGGCTACTCCTGTGCCCCAGCCCATAACTACCCGTAACCTTTCCGGATAGCGTGCGTCATATTAAAGACACGCGCCCTTGAAGTGGGACAGCGATGGTTTTGTATTCCGCCGTGTAAAATACACTATTTATGTATCGTTATGTGAACACGTAGGTGAGCGAGAAGGTCTCGGATGAGAAGTGTAGTTGCAAAGAGAGTTAGTGTCGCCTGTACTTAAGGGCAGATGGTCGCAACTGCAATGAAACACAAAACATCTAAATTGAAGGTCAATGCAGTACCAGTTATTTCGAGGCGTTGGCACACACAGCAAGCCCCGCCGTGTGGGCTATGGGCAGGGTCCTGGTAACATGCCAAACGTGACCCAATCAAGGAGCAGAGGGAGAAACAGCCAGAGAAAGAGAAAAATGGGCGAGGAGGAAAATTCTCTTTCCCTGCCCAGGCAATAGATTGCGCTACCTTCAATATTGAGGGACCTTAACATAAACGATTGCACCGAGATTCACCAATGCAGAAACGTATTCTGCATGTGTTGATTTTGTCACCAAAATACTTCTGCAGATTTTTTAAAATATGGTTTCTATATGAAACTACTGTTTTGCAAAGGTGGCTTCGTGGAAACTTGCATGTAAAGCAGGTCTAGACTAGGGATGTTGCGAACCACCGTAGGTTCGATTTCGAAAGGTTTCGATATTTGCGAAGCGAACTGAGGTTCGATATTTTCGTATCGACTGAGGTTCGATTTCGAAAAATTCGCAACTTTTGTCCACAGCGGAGTTTCGAATTCGAAAATTTCGAAGCTTTCACGGTTTCTGAAATTTCGAATTCGAATATTTCGAATATTTTTTTACTTCAGGTTTGATAAATTCGAAGATTTCGAAATTCTTTGTAAAAAAAAAATCGAAAACTTTGAACGCTTCGAATTTTTATAGACATGAAGTTCCAAAAATTCGAAGATTTCGAATTTTTTTTTTGCATAAAGTTTGAAAAGTTCGAAGGTTTCGATTCTCTTTTAACGCTAAATTCAAAAAAAAAAAAAAAAAAAACTTTGAAGATTTTGATTTTCTTTTTAATCCAAGTTTTCAAAGTTCGAAGTCCGATTCTCAAGTTTTTCCACAGTTTCAGTTTCAAATAAAGTTTTCACGACTCACTGGTTTTCACAAAATCAAGTTTAGAAAAGTTAGGGTGTGATATCTAGATTCTGCGAAGTTGGTCAGGCAATTAAATGAGACGACGAGTGTCCCGGACGTGCTAGAATATTTGCCAGTGCAGAATTGTGACCGCCAGCCCCGGGGGGGGGTCTTTAACCTGCATCACGCAGTAGTGATTGCACGAACACACTGTTTTACGAGACTCTTCCAGTTCGAAACGGCCAGGGGCGAGCAGGAGGTTGAGGCTCAGACAAACCTTGAAGTGGCCTGGCAAACTAGCTCGCCACCCCTTGCACGCTGGTAGTAATCCGATCCGGTGAAGCCTATAATGGACCTTTTTCGAGTAACGAGCGCCGTCCGGGGAGCTATCTGCGAACTACAATCGAAGAGCAGCCCGACATGCCTCCGCCCGTCAAAACACATCGGCATCGTGCCGTTGTATCGGTTTTCAGTGCTTTTTAGACCTCATACTACCAATACTAAAAAATACAAAGCGTCAAAATAGACTAAATACGCGCAAAGACAGACGCTGACAATGTTGCTGTCGCCATTTTCGCAGAGCACCGCGTCCCGGTGTCCTGCGAAAATGGCGACAGCGGGAGTGTACGCATGCGCAGAAGCTTACTGGAAAAAGGTCCATTGTCCTGGAGGTTTATTTTCTGGGACGGAGGAATCGCCTCGCAAAAAGCACAAAAGCCGACACAACTCCAGGTCGAGGGGCGTTCTACCATACAAGTGGCGTCGGAAGAGGAAAAACGGGGGGAAAGAGGGTAGCGGGGGGGGGGGGGGGGGGGGGGGTTTCAGCCTCCTTCTCCCCTTTGCAGGTATTTCGGACTGTTAAAGAAAACAATACGGGGAAAGAGGGCGTGGTCGAGCTTATTTTAATCTGAAATTATTTATGCATATGTATAGCTAATGTCGCTCTTCACTACATAAAAGGTTGCGTAGATGGTCATTGTTAGAAACTCGTTGTCAGAAGTTACTGCTCGTCTCATGCTTAGTGGTTCGGAAGTTCAGAGCTGTCTTTTCGACCTAAACACCTGTGCCAATAGTAACAAAAGAAAAAAAAAAAAAAGAATAAATGCGGGAATAAAAAGCAGGAGAAAAAAAAAACTATCAAGAATTCGTCGGAAGTGTTCTATTCTTGCATATTCAGAGGTCCAGAACTTCGAAACAAGTTTCTTTTACCAAAATGTGTACAGGCTAAAAGAAACACGTCCCAGGAACGTGAAGCGAAAAAAAAAAAAAGTTTTCTTTTAATGACGTGCTGAACTTGAACACTACTCCCATGAGCTAATTTCTCCCATGAGTTAATTTATTCCTTAACGTGAAAAAACAATAAATATATTATTTTGTATTCTGCAGATGGAAATGATATGTACTGTCTGTGGTGTTAATTTAAATGCGATACCTCAAACAACTTAGACGAAAATAAATATCAAGTTTAGGTCATAATTGCATGCAGATACATGTTTGGACATTTCTTCGAAACTCACGTTGAATAACAATAATCACATCTTAAGACGGCACTTACCTAGGCTATACATAGATCATTCTTAAAAAAGTATAACATATCTACAGTGTAGACCGCATATAACGTATGTCTCGGGAGTCCCGAAAATCCGCACTATAAGCGGTACCGCACTATAACCAAAACATCAATTTTTCAGGCCAAAATACGTGCCATGAGACAACTTACCTTTGTAAAAGAATTTATTTTATGTCAGATGACAAAATAAGCTTAGTTTGAGGAAAGTCTTTATTTCAATAGACGAGTACAGTTATGTCTCAAGTGTGTCACACATTTTAAAAGAAATTAGCGGCTTTTGCCTGGCGCAGCCTTTTAACGGCATCGCGGGTTGCAGACGGACATTGCGAGCGTTCAGGATTGCTAACCCTAATCACTTTTCGCCGATGAAAACGCGTGAAAATTCGCGTCCTTCATACGGTACGCGCCAGTAATACCTTGAACTTGAGCACACGCATGAAATGCGCCAAATAAAAAATCCGGGCGATGTTCGAGGACACAAATGCTTAGAAATCACCACTGTAGTCGAAGTAAACAAACACGACGACACGGGCGTTTCTGCTTGAGAGCGCTGCCACGACATCGCCGCACGAGTAGGTGGATCTTCCCTTCTAGTACGTGCTGGGTTATCATAGCGACACACAACGAAAATTCACAGTCAAGGATAGCGCTTTTACGCAGAACGATGAGATGCACGCCGTCTACGACGACGATCACAACCGACGCCTTGTTTGCGGAATAGAAGCAGCCGGCCCGCGACCGGCACACCGGCATGCAGCGCGCGCGAACACTTCTCCTCGACCTGCGATTGGTCTGTCGTTGCGGTTGTTTGTTTCTTTGTTTCCAACGCTGCGGAGGGACGCACGCACGTGAACGACTCGTGCGTGCGTCCCTCCGTCGCTATGGCAACTGAAGCCTCTCTCTTCGCTTCTCCCCGCGTATTCGAGCAACCTCCTTGCCCCGCGAGTGCAGTTTGCGGCTCGCGCCGTCAGCTGCGTCAGCGCCGTTATCTAGTGTCGCACAGGGAAGCGAGCTCGCTGCTCCGGTCGTCGGCGCGGTCGGCGGGCTGTGCCAAAAACCGCACTATAACCGGTATTTCCCTTCGCGCACCTGCATTTTAAGCAGTATGTAATTACACGGAGTTCTATGGGAGGTGAACCGGTGGTTTAAAAAAACCGCGTTATACCCGGTCCTGCACTATAAGCGGTTACGTTGTAAGTGGTCTATACTGTACCATGAATAGCTCCGGCTGCAGCATGCTTCAAATCTGGCACAAACGATAATCGTCAAAAACCCGTCGTCCTTCCTCGCCCCTTCGGGGATTTATTTCTTTAAACCTAAGCATGCCAGAACATTGAAATAAACGACATTGTCTTTCGTAAGGAACGCAGCACCGCGTGTAAAAGTTCGAGAAAAAAAAAATTATGAATGTACCCCACTACTTGAAATCAAATGAAACCGTCCGCCGGTCTTTCGAAGTTCGACGAACGTCGAACTTTTACCCTAAAAGTTCGAAGTTCGTCGAACTTCTGACTTTTCAGAATCGAAAGTTCGAAACCTTTCGAATTCTCTTGATAAATAAGTTCGAAAGTTTGAAATTCATCGAATTTTTTGGTCAGTCAAGTTCGAAAGTTCGACCAGCATCGAACCTTGCAGCGTAATAAGTTCGAAAGTTCGAAAAAGATCGAATTTTTTAGCGTAATAAGTTCGACGGTTCGAAAAGCGTCGAACTTCTTAGCTTAACAAGTTCGAAAATTCGACCTCCGTCGAATTTTACGATATAGACAATTCGAAAAATCGAAATCTTTCGAACCTTTCGAACCGCTTGATTCGATCATCGAAACTTCGATTCGAAAAAAGTTTGCGGCATCCCTAGTCTAGACCATCTGCCGAGAGTGAGAACAATGAATATTTAGGTTACCTGTTACAGACTTTGGCTAATACCTAGCCAAAGTCTGCATGGCTAATACAGATAGGTTACTTTTAGACTTGCAGAAATAGTGGCTCTTGTGGTTAGGTCTTATAGACCTTTTCATCTCAGTAGTTACCTGACTGGTGGACAGTGGGCGCTGAGACACGCAGCACCATAATGTGGCTTCAATTTGGTTGGTTTCGATTTCAGCGGGCTTGCAACTGTGTTGGTGTGTTCTGTCGTTTTCACTTAGTTTTGTGATACGACTGTATGCCTTGTGGTACAAAACCAATGATACAGTGGTAATGACCACCTTAAGAACTATGATGTAGTTACAAGCCTAAATTCTGGACATTTTCACGAGCACATTTTGTTTTTCGTTCGGCCAGGTTCGGTGGTGATAAAACTGAACTGGTGCTGGGAGAGGATTAAAGATGTCTACAGCCGTACTGGACGTGCCCGCTGGTACTAGTTTCCATAAAAATAAACTAAGGAAAACACTAATGCTTGACGATGCAGCAAAAAAGCAGGTCGACGACCTGACTAACTATGTGCTCAATCGCAGAGAACAGATGAACTCGCAAGTTTAGTGCTCACTGTTCAGTTTTCGAGGACACCAAGTTATGTGAAAATGGCCGACCAGGAAACCCCCGTGTAATGATGCATGAAATGCAAAAAAGAAGCGATAGAATTGTCTCCATCGGTTTTTTCAAAGAAATGGAGTACTCGAGAGATATTTTTATGGTCCTTGCTAGGCCGAGTTGGAAATGTTTTTAAACTATATCAGCCCTGCTATAGTCAGTTACAGGTTAAGAAGGTAGCGGCAAATGCCCCTCAAAGGGAATCGGATATCCCTCCGCCACCTCCGCATCCAATAGCGTCCCACCGTTTCCGTGACGTCGCGGCCAACGCGCGAGGAGGGTCTTGCCTTTCTGTACATATTTGCTTTATCTTTCGACTTTGACTTAGCATTGTGGAAGCCACGAGAGGGAGATTAGAGTTCCCCCCACCGACGGAAACAAATACGACCTTCGGGGATTAGCTTCCCCCCGATGGGTATACAAAGGCTGCTTTCAGGGGCTCGGTTCCTTCTCCGATGAATACAAAGGTCGCTTTCTTAAAAAGTGGGATCGGAGACAAGTTGGAATCCATTGAAGCGGAACAAGGAGCGTTTCCAGTGAACTCTTCTTTCGACTGCGGAGAGATTTGAAACGGGCGCATCACACTTGTGGGAGGAGCTTCTCCTACATTCTTGACTTGTAACCGACTATAGAGTATTCATTGGCAGCATTTCACAATGTTGACCTCAGGAAACGATTTTGAACATTTCCTCACAAATCTGACGTCTGTCTTCCCTATACAGACATGAGACCAAGCACAATGTATAGTTTCTTTAAATTCATAAATAAACTGATCAATCGAATGTTTATACCCCAGAAATGTTTCCCCCATATAATCAGAAGCAACCGTTTTAGATTTGTTATGAAGACAGAGCACGATGCTTTCAGGAAACACACATAGTGACTACCTGCGTTGACTATATTTGCCTTCTTTAAGGTCATAAATGCGTGATCATGAATATACCTTGTGCTTCTTTTGCGCACTAACACTTATCCACTATCACTTAAACAAATTTTTGCTCTAATGAATAATTGGCCTCTCAACCCTCGTCTGTCTTAGAGACATACCACATGTATACTCAATGTGTGTCAGTGCCAACGTTGATTCCTTTCCTCACACATATCCGGTACGCCAGCAGTGCAAATAGTCATAACCTGTTATAAAATAAAGTGCAGAAGTGGTCCACATAATGATGGCATGCAGTTAGGTGGTAAAAATAAGTGTCAGATGATACTTCACAAAGCAAGACAAAAAATTGTGGTAAAACGCGATGAAAAAACTAGTACAATGTTTTCGCCAAGGCACAGAGGGGAGGGAGGAGTGACAATTTGAAGCTACATATGGTGTCCGCATCACATGATTCCAAGATGGCAGTGCCCATGATATGTAGGGTGAAAAGGTCTGTATTAATTGCTTAGCTCTGACATTTTTCATTAATTTCTAGTCATGTAAAATATTTCAGGTATCAAATTAAATTTATACAAAATGTAGAAGTTCAAAAATATGCTATATTTGGTTTGGTTTAAAAAAAAAATTCTACCGATTTTTTTTAAATGATATACTGTTAGTAAACAGTGCTGTAATATAAAAACGATAAAATTTATTTATTAACTACGTATATTGAAAAAAAAAAAAAAAATCGCACTTGTTCCAAAAGATATACTAATTGAATTTCTGCAACCCCACAATGTTCACGGTATGTAGTTCAGTCATTTGACATTAAAAAAACAATAGAATTGGAACCCAAATGGACGTTGCGTTTGTAACGTAAAATAACGAGCAAGCTCCCATCCGAAATTTTGAGATTGGGGGCTGGTGCCCGTTAGGTCCGAGTGTAAAAGTGCAAATGGAGCCTTTATATGTGGGCTACACTGCTTTGCATCGCTACGCAGATAACTAAGCGGCACACAAACAGTAACCTACCCCCACCCTCCACAGCATATTAGTAGAATAGTCTAGTAGGCACGAAGGCATTTCAGAGAAAATTATGCAATGCCTTCGTACATTCTCAATTTTGTTTTGTTACTTGTCACTTTGCACATCAAGCCTACAGCAAGTGCCGCTCGTTAAGAAATACACTGAATGCCGTCGCACCTTCGTTGCATTCGACGGAGCATCTAAGCCAGACGATTTTTTTGCTCCGACATCCCAGATACCAGTTGTTGGTTAGAGTGCTAAACCCCCCAAATTCGCTCCCTCTTCCCCCCATTTCGGCGACGCAGCTGGAGCGATCCGAGGACGGCTTCTCCGTGGTGGCGGAGTACCTGGGCAAGGGTCTGTTCAACAAGGTGACCCTGCTGACAGACGGTGCCGGCGCCCCGCACTCCAAGCCCGGTCCGAGGAACGCCCGTCCCCCGACTGGGTCCGGGCTTCCGCTGCACGTGCAGAGGGACGTGCTACTGCAATGATCCGGCCGGCCGCTCGTCGGCCCATTTCCAAAGACTAGCAAAGTTTTGTCGGCCAACTTGTAACATAGGACCCGCAATACAGCCACAATGCCCGTCCCTACGGAGGCACGTTTTTAATGTAAATAAACGTAGGATGCTTTCACCCGTACGTCTGGGTCTGTGTGCATTATGAGCTGGGCATTGTTGTGCTCTTTAACCTTGGGTCTGGATTCTTGGAGCACTAAGCATGCCTTAAGTTTGCGGACGGACCTGTGAAGTGCCGCCGCACCGGGTCCATTTGCTGTACGGCAAGTTTGTCCTAAGCTTTTATATACTGTAAAGCACCAGGCAAGTACAACCCACTTGGAAGGCCATTGAAATAAAAATGAGGATGAAGTTGCTTAGTGTGAGCATGAAATCCCAAAATGGTAGTATAAGAAAGTTTGCCCTATATTTCTGCTTTATCTCTGCCCTCCCACACAAAATTATCTGCAGATTCTAGCATTTCATGGTTCACGGCAGGACTGGATGCGGCTTTACGGCGTCTCCACGCACAAATACGGTTGCGATACGGCACCGCCAACTTAGGCGACTGGTAGCTTCACCGCAGCACGACGCAGGAAGTGCTACAATTTTAGTCAATGACAGAATAAGAACGGCACGGCGTGTCTCTCGTACGCCCGGCCTCCATGCCTTCCACCGTGCTTTGGCAGCGGGCGCGCACTCGAGGTCGAAGACTTTCCGATGTTTCATCTCCAGCTCGGACTGGAGAAGGAAGAACTCCTCTCTGCCGTTCTCCCTCTGTCACTGACTATATAGACTCTGGGCGAAGCCACTGGAGGAGCCGTGAGAAAGGAGTGAAGATCTTTTGAAGACGAATTGACCCTTCAGCGCAGTAGGCTCGGCGATATAACGTGGAGCCTGCTGCGCCGAGAGGTGAATTCGGGACTCCACAGTAAACCAGCGGGCAACGCCAAACAGAAATCATTGAGAAGCAGGGCGGAAGAGCGATAACAGTCTCACGCAACGTGATGTCGGCGTCATAGAAAGCTGAAGATCTCAGGC